GCTCAAACCCTAAAGGATTAGGGTTTCACCAAAACTTACCGTCACGCCGTGGTGGTCCATGAAAACCCGCGGCCCAAAAGATAATGCCACGTCGTGGTGAGGCTCCACCACGCCATGGCCACCCAAAACAATATTGCTATTTGAAAATTAAATTTGTACCTGAAACGGGTGTTACACATAGGGATGATTTAAGTAATTTGTTCTCTCTCTCTCTCTCTCTATATATATATATATATATATATATATATATATATTATATATATGTATATAATGGATCCTGGTTAAATTTCGTGTTGGATCAGCCACTGCTAATGATGTGTCCCCGAATTTATATAAACAATGTCATGTTATTTGCCAAGTCATCTCGAAAAAAATTCCCATACTTGGAGAAGAAAATCACTCAAAATATTTATGCGTTCATTTCTCTTCTCCTATAAAAAAAACTCAAAATGTGGAAATCAATTTTATTGGGGGAACCGGTTTAGACCATCATCTAAGCCAATATGTGAGTTTAAGTATTTTATACAATGGGACACATGTCAATATGGAATTTATATACATAAATGAGTGATGGTATATGCCTATGTGTATATTTGTATATGTATGTGTCTGTGAATATTTGTATGTGAATGTATTAATAAACATTATAATGTTAAACCATGAATGTATTATAAGAAAAAACGACGTTCGATGCCTAAAAAATCGAAAATAAGAAAAATATGTAGGTAATCCGTAGGTAATTACCTATGGATTACCTACGAGATTTTTTATATTCGATTTTTCGGACACCGAACGTCATTTTTTCCGTTTGGTTTTTTTTCAGACCTCTGTTATACATGATTATCTATACTTCCATCAACTTATAGCTATTAATATCATTTTTAAAGTTGTGTGCACCTTCGGGGTCCATTACTCGTTTCATGGTTTAACATTGTAATGCATATACTTTCACCAACTTCTGATGGGTTATGTTTGTATATGGAATTTATATACATGAGCGAGTGATGACATATGTTTATGTGTATGTCTGTATATGTATATGTCTATGAATATTTGTATGTGAATGTATTAATAAGCATTATAATATTAAACCATGAAACGAGTAACGGATTCTGAAGGTGCACACAACTTTATGAACGATGTTAATAGTTATAAGTTGGTGAAAGTATAGCTAATCATGCATAATAGAAGTGTGAAAAATACAAAACGGAAAAAAGACGTTTAGTGCCTGAAAAATCAAAAATAAGAAAAATCCATAGGTAATTACCCACAGATTTTTCTTATTTTCAATTTTTTCAGACACCGAACATCGTTTTTTCTGCTTCGATTTTTTTCACACCTCTATTATTTATGATTATATATACTTTCACCAACTTATATCTATTAATATTTTTCACAAAGTCGTGTGCACCTTCGGGATCCATTACTCGTTTCATGGTTTAACATTGTAATTCCTATTAATACTTGTTATTTTTTATACACATAAATACATACATATAGACACATACACACATACATACACATAAACACATACATAAACATACACATACCCATTTAATTACATACATATAGATACATACACGCATACACATAGACACATACATACACATACACACGTACACATACACATACATACATATACATACATACATACACATAAATACACATACATACATACATATTTTAATTATCATGGGGTACCGAAAGTCTTTTTTATCGCTTCATTTTTTGCATGTTTGTTATAGACACATTTATACACATACATACATATAGACACATACACACATACATACATATATACACATAAATAAACATACACATATACATACACGTACACATACACACACACACATATACATACACGTATACATACACACATATACATACACACACATACACATACATATATGCATACACATGTACATATACATACTCATACACATACACACATACACATACACATACACATACATACATACATACATACATACATACATACATATTATCCTTTATTATCATCATTTTTTATTATTTGTGCACTAAACGTAGATTATTTTCTTTATTGATGTGTTAAACACATTTTTTTTTGTGTTAAGCACATTTGTTACCATTATTATATATTATCATTATTAATATTATCATTATGTTTATAAATATTGTTATCAGTACTATTAGTATGATTCTTAATTGTTCGTGTTTTATTTATGTAAAAAAAACAAACCAAAAAAAAAAGTTTTAAGACTCGAATAATGAAAAATAATAATTAAAATAATAATAATAATAATAATATAAAATAATAATAATAATAATAATAATAATAATAATAATATTAATAATAATAATAATAATAATAATGGAAATTATAAATTGTCGGTATTTCGTAGTTATTCTATAGTTAATCTCTTTCGTCGATATTCTGTAACTATTCCATTACTAAATTAGGGTATCTCATTCTGTAAGTATTCCATAGGTAAGTACCTACGAAAATTATTCGTGGTTATTTTTCGTAGCTAAAGCTCATGTTTTTTAGTACCGACACATGTCAATATGTGTAAATTGGTATATTTATATGCTCCCATGAATTGTTAGCATAATAATTATATTATTATATGTTTGTATGCAACAAAAGAGAGTTGCATATATGCATGGTCTATCATGTTGATTACATAAAATTATGTGGATTGATGGTTGCTGGATGAGCCGATATCTGATGTTGGTAGTGTACTAGTGTTGGTAAATGTGAGTTTAATGATAATAATATAATAATAGTGATAAAGGCAAACACAAAATTTTTTAAGAATTACAATGAAATTTTGATTATGTTATCTTGAAGTTATAGAATGCAAACGCTTAAAATGTGATTGGTGACTTTTTTCGTCCATTATCATTTTTGCTTACAAACATTAACGGAAATTTCAGAAATGACGTTTTTTAGTTGCAAACTTGCAATAGAAAATCAAATCTGATTGATTAAAATGTCAACCATCCAACAAATCAAAAACGAATTTGTATTTATAAAATAAATGCAAAAAACAAATCGACGCTTTTTTGTTCAAACTACAATCTCTGTACTTCTATGCATCGAGTCGATTCTTAATTTATGGTAGCTCAGTATGCTATCTCTATTTTTATTTCTATGTCCATGGTATGAATTTTCTTCTTATTCTCCATCATATGTTGATATTTGAACTATTTTTAATTTGATAAATAAAAGATGAAAAAGTAATATGAGGAACACCATCATGCAAAAAGAGAACAAAACCATGTGATCGTTGATTGTTATAATAATAGAGAACACACACACATATATATATATATATATATATATATATATATATATATATATATATATATATATATATATATATATATATCTATATATATATATATAACATTCTTTTAGAATCAAAAACATTAACTTTCTTCAAGCGGTGCGTTTAAGATATATCTATGCTAAAAAAAACGATTTGATGATTTTTCTTTTTGGTTTTTTTTGTATGACTGCTGATGAACACAATCAGCCGTCATATAGACTGCTGATTGTGACAGATCTGGAAGGCTAGGAATGAGTTATTGTTTAAAAATGTGAGAATCGCTCCTATGATGACATCCGATAACATTCAAGCTTTTACTTTCAACTCAGTTAAATATAGATCAAATCTAATTAGCTCTTTGCTGTTTAACTCTATTTTATAAATGTTGGCTTTAGCATCTTGCTAGTTTTCTTTTCTTAATATATTCATTGTTCTAAAAAAACTTTTTTCCTCTCATATTTTTCAATCAAACTTCATATGCGCATTGTTCGCATATTCTTTTGTGAACCTTAAATAAAACTATATATATATATATATACCACCCCCCCCCCCCCCGCGGGAATATGTGTAATTTTTTTTTGTGAATAACATATAATAAAAGACTTTTAAAAGTTAATTTAAAATAATACATATTTGGTACATATACATCTATATGTGCACATATACATCTTGTTGAAGCATGAGTTTAAAAACAGATATATTTATGTATTTTATGTTTTTATCTTAGACATATACATCCGAACACACACAACAACGTCACATATACACACATACACGGTCACATGTAAACACACACACAATCATACAAACAACCACAAAGACATGCAAAAAAGTTATAGACAAAATTGCAAAAATGGTCCTTGTGGTATGTCAAAACTAGCAAGTTTGGTCTAAAAGCGTTTGGGCTTGCAAAGATGGTCCAATAGTTTGGTTTTGTTGCAAGTTTGGTCCGATTTGATTTGAACTTTTTTGTATTGACGAGTTTACCCTTTATTATTTTATTTATCATTTTTGTTTTATTTACAACAATTAAAAAACTATTAAAAAAAACCTCTCTCTCTCTCTCTGTCTCTCTCTTTCTCTCTCATCTTCATCACCTTCATTGATAGATCTGAAAAATCTAAAATCATATCGGAATATGTGGCAGAACAAATTTATTCATCTAACAACATCCATGCTTTTCAAATCCGACGTTAAGTCGTCCGCATCTCCATTTTCATCCAAAGACATCTGCCTTAAAAGCCCCATCTTTAAACATCTATCCGCCGCCACCACTACCAGCGGTATCAGATCCTACAGCTTTAACCTCCCAGATCTTGCAACATCCTCATCTTTTCTCTCCGATTTTCAAATGAAACTCAACTCTCTTTCCCACTCCAATGACCTCGCTTCCTTTTCTTTTGACCCCATACTGGTGTTGTACCTTGTAATTTAGGGATTTACTTCTTACCCAAATCCCATAAAAATACTCTCTGATATATGGATTGGCTGGAGCACTTGTTGTTGTTGTAGTAATGTCTTGTTTCGTGGGGATCTACATTTGGTGGGATAGAAAGAGGAAAGGGAAAACATCGAGGTGGTGGTGGTGTTGGCTGGAATGTGAATTGGAAGAAGATGATGATGTTTGTGAGGAAGGGATTTCTAGCTGTAAGAGCATGGTGGCTCTTGTGTTTTCCTGAATGATGCTTAAATGACTTGTACATCATGTCTTGAAAATTGTATATTGCTGGGAATGCCAGCCTGATCTTCACAAAGGGAGACTTGAAGGAATCCAGTGAAGAAGTTGTCAAGTACAAGTTCGGAGCTCCTGCGTGTGATGGACTTGTGGCTCCGGTGGATGTGGTTGTTCCATAAGATAACACTGGTCTCGATCCATCTTAGACCTCTTTCTTCCAGATTCTCAACATTCCCACCAAGATTAACAAAGGTAGTGTGGATCAATACCCTTGTTGCGGATCCGGGTAAGTTTGTTGTTGTTGCCTCCTCTAGCGGTGGTGCTCCGACGGCTGCTGGTGGTCCAGTGGAAGAGAGCAAGGAAGAGGCGGCGGAGGAGAGTGAATATGGTAAAGAACAAATCTTGTTTTGAGACTTGATTTGGAAATTAGAGTTGCTATAAAATTGTATACCGAACTCAGTTAGGTTAGTGAGCAAACTTGAATCAATTTGAGCAAATTATATACTCATTCCGTCCCAAAATTATAGTCCATCTTTCCTTTTTGGTTTGTCCCAAAATAATAGTCAACTTCTAAAAATAAATAACATTTTTACCAAAATATCCCTCATTATTACTTAACCAACTAAGCATTTAATGGAACATTAAATGCAAAGTAAGGACAAAACTGTCATTTTATTAAATAAAGTTAGTGGTAATTAATGTTTTTCTTAATATGTGTGTTTTTTGTCTGTGGACAATAATATTGGGACGGAGGGAGTATGTGCTAGTGTTAATGGTCATCGATTTTATTTGCAGGTTAGAGAGAGAGAGAGGTATTTTATTTTTGTTTTATTTTTAATAGTTTTTTAATTGTTGTAATGAAACAAAAATGAAAAATAAAATAATAAAGGGTAAAATCGTCAATACAAAAAAGTTCAAATCAAATTGGACCAAACATGCAACAAAACCAAACTATTTGACCATCTTTGCAAGCTCAAACGCTTTTGGACCAAACTTGCTAGTTTTGACATACCACAGTGATCATTCTTGCAATTTTGTCAAAGTTATAACACCATAATTTGAAAACTCCACTAACTATAGGAAAACATAATTTACAGTAAGATGATGAATAATTATAAATATAGATATATTTTGTTTTGTGAAAACGAATATTTTTTTTTAAATCTTTATATGTTTTACAACCCATGTATATAAAGTGAATATATAAAAAACAAGAAAATGAATTTGAAAAATAAAAAATAAAAAGTAAAATCTAAATAAGAATATACATAAAAAGCGGATATTTCTATAATTTAAAAAAAAAAAAAAAAAAAAAAAAAAACAGTTTTGTAAAAACAAATTCATAAAACACAATTGTAAAAATGATATAAAAAAGGTGAAAAGCTATTTATTAAAACATACCGAGTTTTAGAAAACATGTTAAAATAAAGCTGAACGTTTTTAATAAAGAAAACTGGACCATAATCAAGAAAAATAAATTAAAGAAGGGCTAAAATGAAAAACTAGAAAGTTTGGTGGGTGGCCATGAGTCCGATACAGCATTATATTATGAGAATATACATGTAGTTGTTAATACTTGTTATGACAACTAATACTGTATGTTAATAGCTGATACACAATCAAAAAGAAGTAAAAGATACATTGACAAAGGGCCGACCCACTAAAATGACTGCTTATGACCCTAAAACATTTTTATCCGTAATCCAAACTAACGATTTGCTCGCTTTCGCATTGTATCAACTATCGACTATCAACTATCATTTATCAACATTTAAATTTGAAGAACATTCAATCTATATAATTATTATTTTATCATTATAATAGGCAATGCAGCAATGCATCAATTATAAGCTTGTTGGGCCCAAGGTAACCGGCCTATGACACGTCATATATATGTAGCTTAAGTGGGCCACAATATCTTTACTACCAATCTACCATGACTATAGGATACTACGTAGGCCGTAGGCGTATGATTGAATTTTGAATGTATTAAAGTCTAACTTCATTATAAATTTATGATCTTTTATTTGTGTGGTTGAGAATGTTTGTTAAATTTTATTAGTATGGGTTGTTTGGATTTAAAAAATGATTGTTTGAAATAAATTTTGTTAAAGATAAGTAATAAATGAAAATTAAAAATGATTATTTGAAATAAATTTAGTTAAAGATAAGTAATAAATTAAAATTAAATATGATTGTTTGAAATAAATTTTGTTAAAGATATATATAAATGAAAAATGTTGTGTGTTACGTTTATTAAATGAAAGATTATTTATAGACGACGATTATACAATAGCAATAGGATAAGTCATTACTTATTTAAAATAGTTTCAACCAAACTAAGATATACAACTTACAGGGAAAAAAAAATCTTTAAGACTGTTAAACTAATTAAAGAGTTATTTAATCATTGTTGATTAAGTCGATTTGATTGGGTCAATGTTTAATTAAATCAATCTCAATTTCTTATCAGATCTAGTAAAAAGCATTTCAGAGGCTATAAAATTAAATCAGAAGTTTCTAACGGTGGTATCAAACGGTTTGAATCTGACCAAATCATGTCTAACCTCTCGTCAAACCCATTAATAAACATATTAAACATTCCCGAACAAAAAGTAATTTATCTATAGACAATAAATGGATCATAAACAGTTTGTTAATAGTTATTTAAGAGTTACAACATAATAGTGATGGTGATTGATGATGAAGATTTTTAGTTGTATCATTTGCACTTATTGGAATTTGTATAATTGGAAAATAATTTATTAATAAATGATTGATCGTGATCACGAGTCTCTTAGAAAACCGAAAACTAAATTCGAACCAAGTGATGTATGTTTAATTTGTATTAATTAACAGAATAAGTATGACATTTCTCGGTTTGAATTGAATTAATTTATTAATACACATAAAATGAATAAAAATATAGGTTAAAATTGTTACATTTTAATATTTTATATATAAAGCTATGAATTTTACTTTGCAAATGTATTATGATAAAACATACCTTAACGTGTAAAAATATGCATGGAAATTATTTTGGGAAAGCTATGAATTTTACTTTGCAAATGTATTATGATAAAAGTTAAAACATACCTTAACGTGTAAAAATATGCATGAAAATTATTTTGGGAGTTGTTAAATGTTAAAACTTTCCACAAGTTATAAAAATAGACATGGAAATCACTTTGCAAAATTTCTAATGTTAGAAATGTGTTTTCATAATCAACTAATGATAGAATTGATGTGTATTTTGATTTATTCCACATTCCTTTTAGGAAAGTCCGTAGAATTCAAAATTTATTTAGTATATCATCAGGGACGGACCCAGGATTCTGTAGTAGGTATTGCCGGTCCGTAATAGGTGTTGCCGATCCATAGTAGGTGTTGCCGGTGGCACATTTTATAGTAGAAAAAAGAAAAAAAAATCACAAATTTTGCACTACGTCGGGAAAAACTAGGTGTTGCCGGTGCCACCGTTGGCACCATACTAGATCCGTCCCTGTATATCATGTTAAACAAACCAAATAACCCGAATCATATTATATCATTATTTTTCTTCAATCATTTTGGACACATGACACTAAAATCTACATCCAAGTCGTATGATATCACTAATTTCATAATCAATTTCAAATTTAGATGGATCAAATGGTGATCCACCATTGTTAGTGTTCAAAACATACATAAAAGTTTATTAACTTGTAAAAGTAACTACAACTATAAATATGTTGTAGTGGACTAAACGTGACACACTAGAATCAATATCTGAACACATTAAATTATTAAATTTTGCAAACAATTTCAAGATGCATGGATATACATGTAACACCCACGTATTTGGGTTAGACATTTAAGATAAAATAGATAATCTTAGCTAATGATGTAGTAGTCATAATGTCTATCATGGAGGTATAATGAGCGCTCAAATCTGACTTCGTATGAAGAAGTTATGTTTCTTCAAAGTTTCGTCATTAAACCGACATGACTATGTGTGTCATAAAAAGTGAATCGGAGATAGGTTGTTTATTAGTCTAAGTAATTTAAACAAAAGTCGTAGTAATCGTAAAAGCGAGAGCATGCATATAGAGAACGTCCAAATCTGACTTCATATGAGGAAGTTATGATTTTTCAAAGTTTCAGTGTAGCAGTGTGCAACATAGAAACCGAAATTCAAATCGGTCGATTGTTAGGAAAAACAACCTAAACGAGAGTTGAATATCTCGTTGATATGATTTTGTCGATATAAATACAGTTGAGAACGGATGCCATATAGAAGAGTTATGATTTTATACAGACTTTAACAGTCTAAGCCTGTTAAAAATATAACTTTAAAAAATAAAGTGAGAGTTAGCCGATGGAGTCTAAATGAAAGTTCTAGTACCCGTCGAAGCTACGCGTGGATATAAAGAACGCCAAAATCGGAGCTTGTATGAAGAAAATATGAATTTTTTAAAAATATTAAAGTTTCACGCGCACAAAAGAGGAGCGCGGCGCGCCTCAGACAGTCAACGCAACCCCACCCAAAGTTTGTCACGTGTCAGCATCTGAACGAAGCCATGTCAGTGCCCGGACCAGAGGTGCAGCGCGCCAAGACAAGGAGCGCGACATGCCCCTCCCTTTTCAGCTATAAATAGGCTACGATTTACACTCATTTCCTCATCCCAAATCCTATGGAGTCTTTTCCACCCCTTTACTCCCTAGTTCCTAACTAATTTAGCAAGGCCCTACGGCATCAAAGAGCCAGAGAAATAGAAGTTCACGAGTCAGAGTTTTGCCTGCATAATTACTCGTTCTCGCTAGAAAAATATGTAAGTTGAGCTACACTTATTTTAATTTAAGTGTAACTTATATTTTATAATCATAATCGTTATTATGAACTTATAAATAAGATTTATCAATGATTCCAAGTCGCAATATTGATTGATCTACTTACGGTAGTGATGTCTAGGTTAGATTTAGTGAGGTGTTTAAAATGGGATTTCCAAAAAGTATATTTTCTATACCAAACTGGCCCTACCTCCGATATAATCCTACCTAGTTATTTCTTATTTGATAGATCTTAATGTAGACATTGAGATTATTGAGGAATCTAGACTATCATTAGTCACGATGAATATTATACTAAAAACTTAGTGATAATTAAAACTCGTTCATATCAAATGAAAGGTCAAGGTGTTAGGCGAAGAGCTGCCGAATTCACTAGTCATCTACTTTTAACAAGTGAGTGCATATTTACTTTCATCTTACACACACATATATGAAGTATTTAGATAATTAAATATTATATGTGCTTATTATCTGCGATTAAGATGTCCTGTGTTAGATGAGATAATATAATATGATCTTTATATGACTTCTGCCGTATATGTATTGTTATACTTAAAATATTGGGTAGTGATGGGTGATAAAAGATGATAGATGATGAGGGTGTTGAGTGATGAGAGATGAAAACAATGATAATATGCCTCGACTTTTAATAGTACTAGTGTACTAACAATGTAGTCATCTGTAACGCCCGCGTTTCTTGCAAGATTAGTCATAGTATGTAATCCCTTTGGTCAACTATTGTAATCTTTATGTGAATGAATAAGAAAGGATTACTCATATATTTATGCGTTTATATGTTATACGATATTTTATAAGCATTTAATAATGAAATAAATAAGATTAAAATATGTGTTGAAAATAAAAGGTTATTTAGGACAAATAATCTTAACCTAGTTGTAGCATACGTAATAAGGATTCCAAATATATATGGAACGTTCGAATATGAATTAGAACGAAGAAGTTATGCTTCTTAGAAGTTTCACGGTTAAACCGGCACGCCTCTGCGTATCGTAAAAAGGGAAATTTTGATAAATTATTTTTTATCTTAAGTAATCTAAATGAAAGTCGTAGTAGTCATTAAAACGAGAGTGTGCATATAGAGAACGTCCAAATCTGACTTCGTATAAGGAAGTTATGATTTTTTTCAGTGCAGCAGTGTACAACACTGATATCGAAATTTAGAACGGTTGATTGTTAGGAAAAACAATCTAAACGAGAGTTGAAGATCTCGTCCATACCTATCTGTCTATATAAAGACATTCGACAACGGATATCGTATGAGAGTTATGATTTTTACACAGACTTTAACAATCTAAGCATGTAAAAATATAACTTTAAAAATAAAGTCAAAATTAGCTGACGGAGTCTAAATGAAAGTGTAGATGTCGTTGATAGCTACATGTGGATATAAAACCTGTCGAAAACAGAGCTCGTATGAAGAAGATATTGATTTTTTAAGAAATCAAAAAAATCACGCGCAGCCGCGCGCCAACCAATATGCGCGGCGCGCACTGACACACCACCAAAATCGTTGATGGGCTTTCCAGGTTATAAACAAATTTCACGTGGCGGAAGAAAACTTGAACCC